TGGACTTCACAGGCTACCCTGAATCTCATCTGTAATAGAAGTTGGAAAGTGACCAGTTCAACCAATGGCTTGGACAGCAGATTCCCTCCTGCGCGTCGTATGACTGCTGCCAGCTTGTCAGGACTTACGTGCTGAGAAGAAGTGCCCACTAAGGAAACAGCTTTCTGGTCGGATTGCTTGAAAGTTCCGGAGATCGTGTTTCCAGACAGTTGATAAGAACCAAGAGCCCACATGAAATCCTCTACCCGCAACACTTGTTGCACTATAGGCGGTGCATCATGTCCGCCATGATGAACGGCTCAAGCTCGAAGCCTTGCAAGTTCTCTGCGGCACGGATGTTACCGATGTAAGTGCCAAATTGGGCACATTCGCCCAAGCTCCCAAAGAACCCTACATACGCTTAATAAGAAACCCATAATTAATAATGCGAATACCACCTTACCTCACTTCAACTTCCTTTGCACCTTTCCTATTTGCCTTCTTCTTCCCCTCGCATCCGAAAGGGAAGACAGTCGCGAGACGCGCGTACAATCTTTTCCGTCGAAGAGAATTTGCAAATGGCAGCTACTGCAAGCTCAAAAAGACCTAGCTGGGGCGATCTCACTGAAAGAAGCAAGGGGTGAAGAGAGGCACGTCAGAATCAGCACCGGGCTAGTGTGACTTACGGCAAACACAAGTTGGACACCAGGCGAAAACACAGAGTCAAATCAACTTCGGATGTGGTTATGATCTTTGACTGTGTACCTGAACTCTAAAGTCAAACCGCTGACTGCCATTGCGCAAGTAGGCGTCTTAGGCGAACTTGGGCAAGCAAAGCCAGCCAGGCTTAAACGCAGGTCAAGTCTTTTTCCAGATATGGATGTCTCAGGACAGTCAGGCAGTCTGGCCATGTTACAGACGTGGAAATCCTCCTGTGTCTCGTATAACATGAATACATGAGCTTTTTCATAATGCTTGAGTGCGTGAAGCTCAGCGCAGGAAATCAGACAGGATACCAGTAGCTGTCACTTTGCTGCTGCTTTCTTCGGCAGGCCTTCGTCGGTTGCCTTGGTTGAACTGCTCACTGAACCATCTCCACCACACATGAGCCCCACAGTGTGCAGGACGGTTGTGATTGCTCATTTCTTTCGACTGGGCCTTGGGAAAGAAGCTACTCTCTTGGAAGAAGTGGGTTTTGAGCAAAGGCCTTTAAGAGAGGCAATGCTAGCAAATCGCCACTTTTGAAGACAAACACATGCAACCAAGCAGCAACTGTCAAGGATGTAGAGAAATCTCTTCGCAGCAAACGTTCGTCTCGGGGGACTGGCATGGCCTGCTGAAGCACGCATGGGATGCTTTCAGGAGGGAAGCTACTGCTACTTTTGTCACCGTTCTCACACCGGTCAAACGTCAAACGTCAGGCGCACCATCAAGCATCTTATGAGCTCGATTCGGACCTCGGACTGAGTGTTCTCATCCAACTATGAAAGGGCGCTCATTAAACATGTCTCTTCTGCCAGACAGCTCTTGATGAGATAGAATTTGCATCTAGGACCGAGCTTAGGCGCGCACCTTGCTCTTTCTGTTTGCAAAGGCAACTGTTGGGTACAGTTCCCTGTGCCTGTGGCAAGTACAAAAGCATAAGCCATGTCACCGCCTAGACCGTTGGCCAGGAGCATTCCGCTTTTTGACCTCATGACCAAAACATCCATGCCTCAACGACTCCTTCATGATGTCGGCCCTGAACTGTCCACCTTGAGAACTTCTGCAAATTTGCGCATCAACGCAGATGTGCAAGGTCTGCTCCACGGCAAGACAGCACCCTGAAAGCTCAAGGCTAAAGCAGCTGATGCAATACCTTCTGGATCATGGACCGCACAACTAATCTAAAAGCGTCCTCTCCAGATCTACCTCTGCACAGGCGGTCTTAGTATCTTGCGCTTCCGTTAGTACTCCGGCTGGTTTCTGACTAGGACTAGGAGCTACCATGCAAAACAGTAGCTGTGGCGTTTGGACCCTCATGTTGCGTCGAATCGTTGTCGCTGCATCAAGTGAGAAGATTGCATTCCTTTCCGTACGGCCGTTTGCTGTCGGACACTTTGCAGCCTTGTCGGACCCTCCTCTCTGGCTGCTCTACTGTGCGCAGCCCATCTTTTCGGTGCCCTCGGATGCCATCCCAATGCCTTTTTGTGTCCCTGTCCCCTTACGCCTGCCCCTCTCGCGAGCACACACCCCTCATGCCCTGACCTAGCCGCTAGCCCTTGACTTTTTCACCCTACCCGTTGCTTCCTGCCCCGACTTCCATGCTGCGATTCGGAAGAGGCTCAGATTTGCCTTCGAGTTCATGCGTTCTTTCAGGTTTTAAGGCTTCTGAGGGGATACTCCCCAGGTGGTGGTCACCCACCGCGGGTTGCCTCTGAGAGGTCTCCGACAACAGAGATCCATCAGAGCCAGCCGCACAGGCGTGCGGGTAGATTGTGGGGTGCTGGCGCTCATGAACCTGCATGTGCATGGGTTGGATCACCGTGAGGCAGAATGCTTGCCTCTGTCGCTCCCCTTTCTTAGCTGGGACACTGCATCTGGGCCTTCAATAGCATCAGACAACCCAACTTGCTTGGGCGATTTCTTCCCTTGCTTCGTTCGCACGCTGACCGGTTGCCTTGCCAGCAAGTGCTACCCCCGTGCCCGTCACCGGCATTCGCAGCTGCAGAATACAAGCACCAAATGAGGTTGCTGATAGAGGCTTACTGCAAGGCCCACAACAGGTTGCGCTAGATCGTACGATAAACGGTGTGTGGAAGATGGCAATGCTACTTACTAACTACAACTGAGCTGGAGACCTATTTCAGAGTCTTGTTTAATGGCTTGTGCTTGGTGTGGTTGGCTTGTTAGCTTGTGTTTTCAATGAATCATTCGTTGGAACGCACATCCGTGTCGACATGGTAATCACGACTCTCTCTGCTCTTCCTCTTCTTACGATTTCTCGTGGCTCGGCAGCCCCCGTGAAGGGGGGCACCAAAGGCCAGTACCATGCATAAGCTCAACCACCTCCCAAAGTATGAGTCACACAAAACTGGTGGGATTATCACATCAAGCTTCCGAGTATGGTACACATGTTCTGCTGCAGCCTGCTGCCAAAGCCTGCCAAGCTCTACAAGTTTTGTTTGGTAGTGCAGTGCCAAAGTCATCCTCATGTGTCACGTATGATATAATTGGCCACTCTCTAGCAGCTTTGCGAAGCTGCGTTGTTGTTGAGACTTTGAATTCTCGGCAACTCACGAGGCTCTTCATCTTCATCGGTCTGGTGTGGCGTCTAGGGTGTAAAGAAAAGCGCACAATCCAAAGTTTTCAGGACATGTGTCTAGTGAACTGACATTAATTAACTCGGCTAGACCTCTCAGAACGCCACGACATCTCCGGGAGTCCACCGTGAATCTGAGCAAGCCTTGCGAGGAGTCGTACATGGCCTTAGAAGTCGTGAACGAGATGTGCTTTTGCGTTGCTTGCGCGAACTGGATTCTGTCTCTGGTGCTGTGATGGACTCCTCCTCGCAGGTGCCCGAGCTGGGCCTCAAGCCAAGGCGAAGCTGAGGCCAAGCTGCAAAAAAAAGATCTGAGCCCCTGGCTCACAGAGATCCAAGCCATCCTCTCACTGAACTGCTTCAGGTTTAAAGAGATTCTGATTAAGTCTAAAGGTGGACTTTTGAAAGGTTATGTCTCTGAAGCACCTTGCTGACTTGCTGCCCCAGGATGTTGATTTCGCCGTCGTAGGCATCACATACTGCAAGGTTCTCACACTCCAGAATGTCCACCTCTTCCATTCGGACCTAATCACACAAAGTCATGGATCACCGCAGCTCGTTTTGGTGTGGAAAAACCTAACATACACTTTCACAGGCGCTCCTTAGCGGCTGACGTCAGCAGTCCCAAATCCCAACCCCAGGACCTTGGCTGCAGGGCTCATCATACCATCCAACTCAAGCACAGAAGCGCAAGGCTGAACGAAAATCATATTGAAGGCTGTCGAAAATTGTTTTCCCACTGTAATGTAATACATTCCCTAGTATGTAGGTTATAACTATATACCCAAAGACCGGCATGGTTTGACAAGGAAGAAGTCAATCCATGTCAGGGGGATTCACAGGCTCAAGCCCTGACCCCAGCATCTGCAGTTGTTTCAGATTCAGTGATGCACCGCAAGCGGGCTAACAAAAATGCTCAAAAAAACGTGGCATGCTGTAAGGCCAAACGGTCTTGGTACCTGTTCAGCCTTCATGCACGAGCAGTGAGCTCTGGTCAGGGGCCACCCTAGTTTCCGAGTTGTCCTTTCACTTCGTCGCCTTTCTCAACTCTCCAAGGACATGCCGCCAAATGGCGGCTAATCTCAAACTGCGAAATCTTGAGGTGTCTGTTGTGCTTCCGAGCAGCATGCATACGACGAAGAGAGTAGAAGGTACGGCCAACAAATATGATGATTTGTCCAGGTCTTGCCTTTGAAATCTTGTCCGGCCCGCCAATTGCTCTATCGCTGCTTGAACTTGCATAGCCAGCCATGCGAAGCTACAGTAGCCAGCCTTGCGGGAGAAAAGCTACGCTAGCAAGTGGCACTGTGGCCAAGGTGTTACCTTAGCACAGATCGAAGAGATTCGATCTGCAAGACACTCCATTGGATCGGGCTTGAGCCTTACTCATTTACTTGCACCTCTAGCACACGGCACAAAGATGCATAGTGCACAGTGCTTAAAGATCTTGTGAGGTTGACGTATTGGGTGAAAATATCACTTTCCACTCCCCACTAGCACCCCCTCCCTGCTTCCTGATGCTCTCCCCATCACCTCTCAGGTCGTTTGCACACGTTGGGGTGAAACCAGCCCAGCACGAGCGCCAGGCTGCCGAGGCGGACGCGCCAGCATTTACAAATTCTTCTGTTTGTCGCGCAGCCCGGCAGCGGCTGAACATAACGCACGGGATGTGGATGGGTGCGCTAGTTTCACAGCCTGTGTCTGCGCCAATGCAACCTCCACGCAGCTGGGTGTTGGTGGCGGCTGCATGCAGAGCAAACGACATGCTGTTCACATCTCCAAAATGCCTGGCTACCTGGGTGCAAGGCAGTGCCGCCGTTCGGACCACAAACGTGAGTGAACACGAAGCGCACTTCCCACAGCTCCTGTTGCAGCTCTCCTCTCCACACGTTTCTCACGATTCTGGGCAATAATGTGACTTCGTCCTGCTGGCTTCCCAGAGTCCACTGCACTAAGCGACCAAGGTCGTCGTCAACAAGCTGGTAGGCTTCCAAGTTATCTGCAGACGTGTGAACCTGCAAGGGTAGAGCGGAAACGATACTCTTCGGCACTAGGTAGCTATGCCAGTAGTTTCTAATGCAAACATGCGCCTGTTTACCACAACGCCGTATAGTCAACGGCATTGCCCAACACGGCTTTCTCAAAGCTTTACTCGTGGCCTCCTAGATCCAACATACTTTTGACTTGGATGCCCGATTGACTCTCGTGACATGCTTCTACGTTTCGTCTCCATCGCGCTTGTTAAAACTGAGCCCGAGAATCGGTCGAAAGAGATCGGCTAGCCAATGCACATACCAGCACATAAGTAGGCTCCGTCAGCTACTTACACACTTTGACTCATTTTGCATTCATGGCGCCCTCCTGCCACACATTGCCATTATGTACAGCAGCCGCGCGCGTGCGCAAGGAAACAGAGCGGAACCAACATGATGTCAAACATGATCAAACAATGTGGGCTGATCTCTCAGCACGGATAGCATGGGCACGGGCCGGCTGCAGTGGCGAGGACAACTAGCATGTCAACAGCCGTGCTTTGTACAAACTGAGCCTAATAGCTCAGATGCATACATTTCAGCTCTGACGAATACTACTTGCATTACTTCCGCACTACTGTCACCTTTCTCAGGTCCAACTTGGGCACCAGCACAGATGCCCTTTCCCGGATTGGTGTTGACGAAGCTTGCGCATTTGCTTTCGAAGCAGCAAAGCGATAGACTTGGGTATACTGCTGATAAACGACAGGATGCTGCAAGCTACTTTGAGCACATCCTTTGGCAGCAGAGTGGACAAGTCGTGGGGTGCCTGCTATTGAAGGCTCAAGGTCAAGCGCAGCATGCTTCGGACTTGCTGGTGATGGCGGAGGCGCAGCGGGAATGACGGGTGCCTGCCAGATTCGGTGCTGAGGTGCAGACTCCAATCCGCTGAATCGTACATGATGCAATGCTAAGGTGTGCACCTACCATCACCTATCTCGTTTCCTATGATTGCTGCAGAAGCATGGAGGACCTGACGTTGCCGAGGGGTCTGCTGGCTACCAGATGCGGTGGAAGACAATCGCGAAGCTCCTGACAGCATCGTTACATGCTGTCACCAGCATCAGCATCGCAGTAATGACAGAGGAAGCTGATCTCTGACCTGCAGGCGGTTGGACAAGGGCTGTGTTCATCACCTCAAGCTTTCGGTCACACCAACCGTCGATTCAGAGCCGCTAGGCGCTAAGGCAGCTGCCGCAAAGGAGCCCGCTGTCTGGGATTGCCTGCCGGCCGACAGATGTGAGCACGAGTGAAGCGCGTGCCAGGGGTAGTGCTGCTGGCTATGGGCAGATGATCGTTAATGGGCTACGCAAGACGGAGCCTGAAACGCAGCAACTGAAATAGCTGAGCAATTCTGAGCACCTTCCAGGCAAAGGATCTTCTCTGCCAAGGCCAGGCTTAGCCTGCCGTCTGTTGGCATCAAGCAAGAGACTTGCACCATCTTGCACGGCTTCTCCACAGAAGCTCTTGACAAGTTCATTGGCGATTCTTTTCACAGCCAAAACCCTCGGGGCGCCGCAGGGCTTCGTTACAAATGATACTCACGTTGTTCATACTCTTATGCCTCTAGAACTCCATAGAACTCCAATAGCGAGACTGTCCGTAGTACCTGCACCGGCGTCTTTCCTCTGAACACTCTGCACGTGCATCGTGATACTCTGAATGGGGATGGCTTACAGGCTAGGGGGATGCGTATGTGTTTTGCCTAGGCGATACCAGCTCACGGCCATAGGTGGCCTGGGTCGGCTGTGAGGAGTGGTTCTGCGCTGGCCTTGAGTGTGGCATTTTCATCGGGCTGCAGCGAGGCAAGTCCATCCACAAACGCCAGCAAGTGCTAGAATCTTTTTTCACTGCCAAGTGCGGGCTGTGTGCCTGTGCCCGGATGGGACAGCCGGCCTTTTCCGATTCTAGAAAACACTCTCGCACAAGCCGGGCACTGCCCATGCTTTCAGCTCACCGGAAAGAATCCGCTGCTGGCCTCTCTTTTTGCATACACTGCACGCGCCCAATGTTGGACAATTGAAGATGTGCCCCTGCCTTGCATCAATCTCTGATTTTTCGCATTGATCTGTGCCTTGAAGTCCTCACTGCACGCTGACGGGCATGCTGCAGGTGCAGGAACAAGCGTGAAGGGATGCTTCCCATGTGGCTTGAAGTTGGGTGCGGTTCATCTACGATCGCTCTGAAAGACTTCGAGGCAGAGCGGCAGAATGTTCCCCAAATGTTGTTAGACCTGCTTTCTTTTTCTATGTGCTGGACGTGATCCAGCGTCAAGTCCGAAAGAGGAAGAGCATTTTGTTGCAGGCTTTCGAGTCGACAAGTCCATGTCCTCCTCAGACGGCTTGCCTTGAAAGACTTCAAGAGAGATCTTCCTGAGCATTGGCCCAAAAGCTTGAATGAGCTCTGCGCTTTGAACAAACGCGGCTAGACAATGCTGGTCTCTTGGCCTTCCGCTTCCGTTGGCAAAGGATGCCTGGAAAGGAGAGTTCGAACGACCAACTTGCCAGCTGAATCCGATTGCATAGAAGTTCGTCTGCGCTGCTGCTTGGGCACGCTGACCAAGATATTCATCCACCTACTGCCATGAAAGGCATATGCCGGCGTCACGACCCCAGCTCTTGGACGCTCCTTCGCTTCAACTCATTCGTGTTCAGTACCATGACACGGCTCACAGCGCTGGGCAGAGAGACAAACAGTGCTTGTAAGCAAGCTGCTGGCTCCGCGTCATTGGCAAGAACCATGGCGCCAGCTATGGCGGCCATGCCGGAGACCTCGTACGCACAGCCTGATGTCCACCGCGCATAGGCCCATTCTCCAGACTCTCCTTGCGCAACGCCAAGGATCTCGCTGCCGTACATCTGACGGGTGCGGGCAGGTGGGCCCTGACCAGGCCAGGGAGCCTCGCCTCGCTCCCGCGCAGACTGAATCTTCTCTGCGCCGCGGTCAGATTCGTCAGCTCGGGGTTGAAGTTGGTGCAGCAGCTGTTCTGCCACGGCCTTTTGCAGCTGTGGCTCGCGAATCACGACGCTTAGCTGCGCTCCGTAGTTTACCTGGCCACGCTCCTCAAACAGCTGGCAGCTTCTCCGAACCACTCTGGAGGCGACAAAACTGTTGTATGCTGGTGCAAGGTACAAAGAAGGAAACCATGGATCCACCTCAGCTGAAAAGCCCAAAGTTGACCACTGCCAAGCACATGGCCAAGCAGAACCGTGAACATTTGATTGATGCAAGGCCTCTACGGTTTCGCAGTCCAGGTCATCTGGTCTGCCCATCATTGTCAGGCTCAAATCCCCAAAAGCAGAGAAGCCCTTTCTGGTTCATGGTCTATACTAGTAACTCCATCGCCCACCTGATACCAGCTTCTCTGCTGCCGCCCAAGCAGAAAGGCATCTGATCAACTTCAGGGTTGGAAACCTGGTGGCAGCATGGCTTTCGTAAAGAACATGTAAGTTGACCGGTTGGATAGCCTGGGACTGCAGAGTTCCGCCGCTGATTCCGCCATACTGGCTGAAGTATTCTCCTTGCAAGACATCCCGCTTCATGGGGGCTCTTAGGAGACTCCACAGCTCAAACATCTTTCTTTTGATGCACAATTTCGAGGTGCGGAAGCATCGCAACGGACCAATTTCTTGTACCAAGCTGTAGCAAAGTACGTCGTCAGGCACGCCTCAGCTGCGTCTGGCCTAGGAATTGAAGTCTTCCAGGTGCGCTACGAACAAATAGCGCCGCACAGCAGATCACAAATCCTGGGCCGGGCGACTGATATTGCCAGCAGAGATAACAATCGAGACGCCGCTTCTCTGGGCTTGCGCGTGATATCTTTCCACAATGGCGCACCTGGTGAAGTAGCATCTCGATATTTGATTCGATACTGACACCATTTGCCAGACCCTTACTGTGAGCGTTTTCCACAAAGAACTTCAACAGGTTCTGCGTTGGCAAGCCGCATCCAGGGAAGCTCACCACACACGTCAATGTAATGCGTAGAGGCCTTTATGCATGCGTCAACGACAGCCTCAGCCCAGCTGTAGGCTGCACTTAGGAATATGAGGAATGAACGGTTCAAGACCAAGATGGCTCTGCCTCCCCGTGAAGGGTATACGGCCCGGCAGCTGAAACCAGAACCTCAGTTCAACCTCTCACAACACTTTCTTCAGCTCAGATCCACTCAGGTGCAGCCTCAGCCAATGCATTCACGCAGCCTTACACCTTGAAGCCATTTCCAAGAACGGTGTCTTGCTGGTGACATGCACAAGGCCTGGCTTGCTCTTGCAGTGCGCCAAGATGTTCCTCTGCTCCAAGCCAAGAAATTCTCTAGCTGGCAGGATAGGGCGCTCTTGACAAACCTAGCGCATATTGGTGCCAAGACTCCGAAGCTTGCTGAGATTGCGCCCTGCAACAGCCCACGTCAGCGGCGGAGTTTTGCCGGCAGCAATCATGCAGTCCAGGTGCTGTGCCATGAGACTTCCCGTAAAGCCTGCACGTTGGACGTTGGCTTCACATTGACGGGTTGCATGCAACGAGCTGGGTTAACACAAGCAACTACAGCAGACAATCTTAACATTCAACTTCTACTGGTGCACCGTAATTCAGCTCGGGCCTGTAGCGCCCCAGATCAGAATGCCAAACTCTCTGTTACGTTGTGGTTTGTGCTGCTCCGGCAGCTCAATGGGGTCCAGTTCATCCAGCTCATCGAAATCCATTGCTGCAGGTACAAGAATGTCAGTGGAACGGTGTCTCAGAGGGCTGCTTGCCCTCGATACATCAACAACAACGCCAGGCGAACTCTGACTGTATAGCGCTTGCCGTATTCCATCCCATCACAGCTTCTAATGCTCACCGCAGCCGAGTCCTGCACTGGTGCTGAGCCGGCGGCGGAACCCCTGCATACCCTCAGAATCCCTACATCCAATTCGTGTTTGCAGAGACCTCAGCCTCCGGCCGCCGCAAAGGCAGCCTAGCAGGCCATGTCGAGCATGTTAAGAAGGATTAACGGATCAAGGGATGTTGACAAGCACTGCCTCAGCCCTTCTGCAGGCGTGCCAGCAGACCAGTTAGGCAAAGCAGCCCGCCCTGTGTTCACAGACGCCATAATTGCTGTTCGGGCAACAGGTCATCTAACAGCATCCCTACCTGAAGGCTGGAGGGAGAGCCGCGGCGCAGGGCTTGCCTGCAAGGCAGTCCCAGGGTTAGCAAATGACCTCTTGTTTGAATCAGTGGCCTCAGCCATGCTGCGGTTGGAGCGGCTGGACAGCGGTGCCTTGAAGAGACTACAACGTTTGTCTTAGCAGCACACAGCACTGCAATCACAAAGGCTGGCAAGGCAAGCTCCCTTTTAATGGCAGATGCATCAGCTTTCTCCATTGAGGAATGCCACGATGCTCTTAATCTGTACAAAGCATAGTGAAGTACAACTTGACATGACTTGACAAATTCATCAAGCGTCATAGGAAAATCAGCTGGATTCAGCTACACCTCTTTGTGCGGCGCAAGCGCAACAGCTACGGATTTGGCAGGCCTCACAGCTCTGCCTGGCGCACTGTCTGAACTGTAAGAATAAATCTGCAGAACCACAATGAGATTGAATACCGCTCCAGTTGCATGCGATATCAAGGACAGCACATCCATGCCCATGATCTGCAGGGTGGTCAAAAAGCGTACAACGCTACCGAGAAACTGCAGGAAGAAGGTAATGGCAGAAAGCTGTCCAGTATGACCATTCTGCCAGTTTAGGTAGATTTGCGGGATACGCGAAACCGCCGTCATGAAAGTCGGCGAGCTTCCAAGAATGAAGAGAATGTATCTGTAGTCCTCCTTGTGGCCCTCTTTCAAGAGCAACATGCTCAAGGCAATCCAGATCACCAAAGAAGCATACCGCACAGGCAGATTGATTCCATCACGGTACACCCAAATCAGGAGAAGCACTGCTGTAGCCTGAACAGCTGCAATCCCGAGCTCGCCCCAGCCTGAAATGGGATACCCTTTGAGCAAATTGTAATATGCAAAGCTGCTAGCAGCAATGGCGTCCAGCGCTGCTGATGTTTCAGACAAACCGTCTGCACTCCGATTTTTCACGATGAGGTAGATCTGCGGGAGTTTCACAACGCAAGCTCCCGCTATAACAGCATATCCCAGCCATGCAGCAGCCACATCTGCCATCGACATGGCACACGGCTTGGATCCGAGGCAGCTCATCCGCAAGGCTCCGGCTCCGGCTACTCTACCAACACCGTTTAAAAGCCCTGCTCACATCACTTCAAGCTGATTTTAGGGCTGTTGCTATCTAGACCAGATTCTTCCTTCAGCCAGCGAACTCCGGCATGGGAAATACTCGTGCTGCAGAATGCCCTCCAGACATTGTGCACTGGCTTAAGCTCCTCCATAGAGGGGACCGCCGGCTGCGTCCTGCTCAAAGCTTCGGGACAGCCTTCAGCAGCCAGGCAGTTTTGATATTCCAGGTCCCAATTGATTTTGCCGACTGCCTGCTGCCCAGGAGGCCTGCAGCTGCAAAAAGGCTGGCAAGTTACGTCTTTAGGGACTAGCTTTACGGCTTTCTTATCAGGCAGTGGCAAGAGCACACCTAGAGGGAACTACGTCTGTGATGGGCTCCTCTGGAACCTGGGCAACGCCTGGTGCATATCATGTATCTCTGTTTTGCATCCGGCCTGTTTCCATAGCAGTGGTTGAGTCGATTTTGCGGAACCAGACCTGCAGCTATCTCAGCACTGCTGTGAATGAGACAGCTACTCAAGGGCTCGTGAGCTTCAAAGCGTGGCCGCAGTTCACAACATGGAAACATATCTGTGTTGGGACCGGCAATCTCACGTGGTCCACGGATGTCCATGCTTGGAATCTTTTTGTTCAAAGAGGATGCACTTGGATCTGCCAGTTTGGGATTGTTGAGCTACAAATATGTTAGAAGACATGTTGCTGAGATTGTGAGCGAACTTGCTGGGTCAACGACGTCCGTGTGAAAGCACTTTGTTGTGAGCACCTTGTTGGGCGTCACCATTAATCGCCAACAAGTGATGTTAACACAAATAAAAGACAATATTTTGTAGTGGCGTGTATACAACCTCTATCAGACTGCATGTTTGAAGTTGTATCTAGTGAAGGCATAGTACAGGGCCTACCACATGAAAGCTGCAACAAACCTTTCCATTGTAAAGCAAATGAGGTTCCTACGCCCAGTTGAAAAGAAAGGACTGTTGGTTTAAACAGAACGGCACGTTACTAGGCAACAAGTATTTACTTCGAGCATCCCCACCCTAAAGCCGTTATTGCACAAGAAGTGTAACGTTTTCCTGCCCCCCTCAACTGTCTTCCT